CCTCCCCCCTCTCCCTTCTCCAGGGCTGGCTTCTGGGCCCTGCGGTCCTGGCCCTCCTCTGCCCCCACAGCTTTGCGGGCAGCGATAAGTCCCTCCTAGTAGCCAATTCCCTCCTCACATCACAGAATATACAGCGCTTGGCCAAAATATACGGCAGGGAAGCGAGTCACTTGGCCAGAACGAACTCCCCTGATTTCCTTTCCCTCCAAATGGCTTCTTGCTCGTTGGACAAAGAGCTCACCAGGTTCCCAAAGTTGGCTTGCCCTTCCTCTGCTTCCCGTCAGAGGGGGATTCAGAGGGAAATACAAGCTCTTTGGGGCGGGGAATTGGAAATGACTCACAAAGGAGGCGGCTCCAAAGGAGGGGTCAGCGTGAAAAGGGGAGGGGGAATTGGGAGGTGGGAGAGAAAGGCGAGGAAAAAAAGAGGGCCGGAAAACCCTGGGGGGACAGTTTTGAGGTTGTTTAGTATAGTCCTGGGAATCCTGCCTGGTAAACACTGAAACTAGGTGTCATTGGGCTGGGTCATTTCCTCGGTGCTGGCCTTAAACTCGTTTACCCCACACCAAAGACAGCCATGCCAAGACCTTTGGCTAGCAGCTCACCAGGTACCACGGAATCTGCTGGTCTGGGACAGGGCTTGGAATTAATTCTTCATGGGGCCAATAATTTTTACCTCAAAGGGTTGCTTAGAGGATTAAATTAGTTACTACATCTCAGATGCTTAGAATAGTGTCAGGGAGAGTGTAAACTATCATTGATAGCTCCTATTATTACAAAAGTATTCATTTGTTGATGATCTGTTCCCCCTCTATGTTATGAGTCTCATGAGGGCAGAGAGTATGTGTTTCATTCATCACTGAACTCCAGCACCTGGCACAAAGAGGTTATCAATAAATTACTTGGATAGATAAATGATTGAATAACTGACTAGTGGCTATGCCAAGACTCTCTCCTCTGCCATGTAGGAGGTATATTTGTGGAGGTTTGAGGAAGAAAGACTATGATTGGGAAAGGTGGCACAAAAGACCCCTGTTGTTTGCTATATAAAGTGACTTGTTCTACCCTTGGAAAATGGAATGTCTTTGGTAATTTCCTAAATGGACACATTGAAGACTGTCAGACAACTGACCTGAAATTTGAAACTGAGACATGTCTAGCTAGAGCAGTATTTGCATCTTTTGCAGTTAGTGAGTAAAGCAGGATGGGGGAGAGGGCTGAAGTGGAAAACTCAAAAATAATGGTGGCAAATATGTGTTCCAAGTAAATTGAAGTGTGTATGGAGGAGCATAGTCACCCTCAAAGGGATTAGGATGGAGGTCCTAGATTAACAATAATGTTATCCACCTCTCTGTTCTAATCATAGGGTTTTTGATGATCTGCCCTGATGTCCCAATATTTGGGGGGTAGGTATGCAGATTAGGCTCCTACCACTATATTCAATAAACTTGCATTTATGGAAAATCATACTGTTAGAGCTAGAAGGGACTTTAGAAATTATTCATGCATTTCAATTCATGGCTAAAAAACTAAGAATCAAACTAGCAAAGGACTAGAGAGCTTTGGGATTCTCTGACCTTTGTACTGGGTCTTGCATACCCTGAATTCGTTGTGTGTTCCCTTACTCCTTTAATCCCTGCACCACCCTATCCCAACCCCAAAGAAACTTAGAAAAATGAAGGGAGAGGAATAAGAAGGTCAGCAGAGGGTATGGAGAAGGGAAGTTCCTCAATAAACCTTACTTCACCCCCTTTTACTAATTCCCAGGGAAGGTAGCTGGGCCTTCAGTTAACTAATGTAGAATGGCTTCCCCCATGTACCCTGGTAGCCTTGCTCTATCCACATAAACTCCACAGGCAAAGATTTGATTACAGCCAATCTGAGTCTTGGCAGAATACCTGTGATCCTCCCAGAGCACAAGAGGTTTGGAGGCTGGTTAGAAGATGCTTCAAGGCCATCTCTCACTCCCCTCCTAACCCCCTCTGCCCTGGGAGACTGTCAAGAAATGATTTTTCAAAGCTTCCTACCTGCTGGGATCTGATAAGCTAAAATTCTTTCTAATTCATCCCTCAGAATAGAGCTACAGAATATGAAGCCATTTAGTTCAGTACAGAATTGGCTTCTTAGCAACAGACTATCCCACAACTACCATTGCAGTCCTCTGGCCCCTTTTGTTTAAGTGTCCTCCTTTTTGGTGTTTGGACAAAGACTACTAGGAGCAGGAACCATTGACTACTTTTTCTTCCACTGTGTAAATAATAAACTGTTTGAATCTAAAAGTGATTTATTATATCTTTACTGATGAGTCAATCAGACCTTGGATTCTTGCTTTGCCTTGTGTGCTTAACAGCTGTTTGCTGAGAATTTCACATTTCTGGTAATTAAAGCACTCTCCCCCATCACTGAGAGCATTGAGCTGGACAAAAGTATATGTAGACAATTGTCTAACCACTATGCTGTACACTTGAAAAGAATATAAATACATTTTGAATGTCAATTGAAAAATAAAAATTTAAAATTGTATCTTAAAAAAAGATATGTAGATCATAATGGCTTTTTCCTGTCACTGTTCATCAAAGAGAAAGTCAGCCCAAATTCTATTGTCCGGGACTTACACTCTGGCTGCACATTATTAATAGCTAATTTATTAATTATTCTAGTTGTTTCCTTTGGAGCTGGCTGGCCTTAAAGAACAATAGCCTCTTACCAAGTAGCAGTTGTGAGAATGCTGGACCAGGAATATGTGTCTGAGGGGGATCATAGAAGTGGTGGAGTGGAGTTCACCTAAGACAAACCTCACAGTGTAAAAGGTGGCCCATTTGTTGTTCCCCTTATCAGGTTCTAATTTTACTCAACCAGCATTTACTAAGAATCCCCAATGTGTAATCTGGTAAGAGCTTCCTATTCTCATCTCTGCATTTACAGTAAAGGCTTCCATTTTCAGCTACCACTAATAACTCAAGTTCATAGAACAAAAACTACTTGGGAACAATTATAAAATTAGGTACCTCACTAGACTATAAATATTAGGAATACTTTCATCTTAATATGACTCCACAGAAATGAGAGGAGTACTGGGAACATAAAGAGTGATCAGTGAATGCCTTTTGAATGACCAGGCTAGACCAGCCACAACTTCAATTTGTATACTGTGCCCAACAGTTATAGAAAAACCACCTTGATCCTTCACCCCTGAGAATTCAGTGGAGGAGGAGCTTCCTCATTAGCTATTATGCTATACACATTTGCAATATCTATGTAACGACCTACTTGGTCTCTGTTACTCCTTTATAACAGACCACCTCTCTCCCACCTACAGATTCAGCTTCTCTGAGACTTTAGGACCAACCCTATTCCTATGTGGGGGAACACAAACGACCCAATGTACTCTGGCCTGGCACATTAAATGGAGTCAGCCTTTCCAAACATTATACCCCCAAAATTATATAAGATCTTAGCTGTGGGTAATAGCCCCATATTTGGAGAGCCCACGTTGCTCTCCAGTTAGACCATTAACCCCAATATTCCAAATTCTAAACTCTTTTGTATTTTAATCTTCCTTCTTTTCAGCTATAGTTCCTATGGGCTCTTGATCTGACAACCTGTTTCAAGTTACTTCTCCAGCTGCCACCCTTGACTGGCCTGCTTCACTTCAGGCTACATGCCCCCTTTAGTCTCAGTGCAACCACAACTCTGATTCACATATGCCTAAACCCAATTTGAGGCATAGTGTAACCCTCCCAGGCGCCTCCTACAGGACAGCAATTGAACAGCAAGTCAGCTCACTTCTGGCCCTAGCCCAACCTTAATCAATACATTCTAGCACTGAGATTTTCTTTGGTCTTCCTTAATTCCGAACTTCTGCCCCAACCCCTGAACTGAGCCATGTTTTCTGGGGCCTTATACCTTAATTTCCTTAGTCTTTTTTACTGTTTACTGCTTCTGAAACTAGTCTTCATGATTGGATCTCCATTTCCATATGCCATATATCCTCTCTGCCCAAATCTCCAGCTATTTCCCCCAAATCATTTAGACAATTCCAGTAACTCATAGCTGTCTTTCTTTTAATCTCCCCCCAATTTAAATTCCAGTAAGAGACAATCAAGAACTCATTAATACATATATATTTATTTAATTCATAATATAGTATTTTGGATGGGCTGGGATGTTTTAAGGGATGAGGCTGTGTAATCTACAGATGCTCAGATTTCTATACTAGGAGAGAAGCTATTGGTCCAGAGCTCCCAGTACAAACAAGCCATGGGTAAAATATTTGATTAAAAATATTCTAACAATATGTCCGGCTGGTGTGGCTCCATGGTTGAGCGTTGATCCATGCACCAAGAGCTTGCTAGTTCCATTCCCTCTCAAGGCACATGCCGGGGCTGTGAGCTCAATTCCCAGCTGGGGATGTTCAGGAGGCAGCTTATCAATGTTGATGCATCGATGTTTCCATCTCTCTCTCTCTTCCTTTCCCTTCCTCTCTCTCTAAAATCAATAAAAAACATTAAAAATATTCCAACAATAGTCTAATAAATATTTTAGCCAACAACAACACAGCATATGTATGAATGGCAGATTAGACCATAAAAAGCAGTTTTACCTGACCTGATGACAGTCAACCTATAATACACAGCCAAATACAGCCCAATGGATCCAAAGCTGCAATTGAAACAATTGTGGGAGTGGTTCTTGTCTGTCAGCATCACATTCTCCATTCTGTCGAGGAAAGAATGTCAAATATTGGAGCTTATCAAAAAGTCCATCCATGGATTATTCCATCCAGGTAGTCCATGTATAAATATGTAAACCATGGAAGCTTAGAAAATTCACCTAGTGTATTTCAGCTGGAAAGAATATGTAAGTGATTTTGCTGCAATCTGAATGTCACTGCATCCAAAGTTACACAATGGAAATACATGATAAAAACAGATGCAGTTACTCTTACTTACAAGTAGCCAGAACTCCAATGTGGCATTAAAATTTCTTTCATATAATCGAAACAGGTTTAACTTTATATTTTATTATTTTTGTGCTTTCTTCAATAAGACAGTACAAAAGTGGAAATAAGCATAAATTGCAGACAGATAGAACAATTTGCTAGCAGAAAGGATTGTGGGGGAATAAACTGAGTAGAACAAGAGCAACGAAAATTTACGGAGTTACCTTCCTTGATGTTAAACAGGTCCTATTTCCTTTGTTCAAGTGGGTTCAGCTAAAGGTGGTCAATGATGTCTTTTAAGGTCCCTGGCATTACCAGTATCCTATGAAAGTCTTAAGTTTACTGAAGTAAGTATCTGGGACTCACCACACCCCCACTGAGTACTTTGTCACCATGTTGTCTCTTGGAAAGCAATTATCGTTTCATTATTTGGCTCAGCAATTTAATTGTTTATCCCAAGCCCAATTTCATTTCCTACTTTATTCAGTAGGCTTAGCTCTGATTTTTGGTTGTAACCAAAATTTAAATCTACTTTCAAAGAACGAATTTGAAAAATATTGAAAAGTGATTGAAAAGAATGGTGCCACATGCTCCAGACAATTCCCCAAGCCAACTTCCAAAGAGCTTTTGAGGAGGACAATACTCGTACTCATTTATGCATATAAGTCGTGGGACATCTGCAAAATATTATCAGTATAGCCCAAATGGAAAAGCCCAAGCTTTTCTGCCCAGGAAACAACAAACACTAATATGGATATCAGAGTACAACGTTGATCATTCATTCATTCATTCATTCATTCATTTGTTCGTTTGTTCAATAAACATTAGGCAACTACTCTGTTCCACACACTATCTCAGGTGTGAAAAATACAACAAAAACAAAAGACATAGACCCTGCCCTCAAGGTATTCATAGTCTAATACAGAAGTTGATTGTTATACATTAAATTTGTGTGTGCATCAGAATTACCTGGAAAGCTTGTTAAAAATGTAAAATTCCACCCATGTGTCCAGATATTCTAATTAAGTAGATCGGGGCTGGGATCTATGAATCAATTATTTTATCAAACACCAAAAGTGATTCTAACAAATAAGGCCCACACTCTGAAAAACATTGCTATCTAATATGATTATCACCGAGGCCATAAGGATGCCCAGGGTGCCATGGGAGCTCTGAAGAGAACATAACCCAGTCTAGAGGCCGAGAGTTAATCTGATTAGGAGGGGTGAAAGGTAGCCCAGGCTAGGATCAAAAGTAAGATGGGGAAGTTTAAGCTTTGTCTCAGGACACTAAAATCCAAAGGGCACAAAAAATGAATGGCGTGGGAGACCCAAGACAAGGTACAGGAAATTGGACTGAGGTGGAGGTGGAGTGTTTTGCACTTTTAGCAGTTTCATTCTATTCCCTTAAGAACAATTCCTACCGTTTACTTCCTGTGGGCATCAAAATTGTTATAATGTCTCTGTTCCAGGCTCAAAGAACAACTTGTGTAAATAGTTAAGGTTGACTAGGGTAATCAGTGTGAGGGGGAAAGTGACAAAAGATGAAGCTAGGAAAACACATAGAGACTTAAAAAGCCAAACCCTCAGTAATTGGGACCTTCTACTGAATGCTATGGAAGAAAGGGCAGTGAAAGTTTTTATTAAGGGAAGAAATCACTTGCTTTGTTTAAGAATTGGGGGATAGGCCATAAAGGAGAGACCAGAGTAACTTAGAAATGAAAGGCATACATTTTTAAGCACCACTACACTCTACTGGGGCAGGGGCTGGGCGAGGCAGTGGGGAGAAGCTTAATAATCATTATACACTTAACGCCAGGGGTTGTGCTAAGCAGTTTACATGTGCTTTTTTAAAATTGTCACCTGAGGATATGTTTATTGATTTTAGAGAGGAAAGAAGAAAGAGAGGAAGAGAGAGAAATGTTGATGTGAGAGAGAAACATTGATAGGTTGCCTCCAGTACATGCCCTGACTGGGGATTGAACCTGAAACATTGGTATGTGGTCTGACTGGGAATCGAACCTGCAACCTTTTGATGTAAGGACGACACTCTGGGCCACTTTGCCAGGGCAACATGTGCTATCTTTTAAATATTTGCAAAAGCCTTGTTAGGTAGGTATTTTACAAAAGAGGAAACAGAGTCTCAGAGAAGTGAAATTGTTGCTCTTGGCCATACCGCTAATTAATTGCAGAGAAACTAGGTTATTTTAGTACAAAGGCTATGAGCTCCCCATTAGAGCAAGCTATTTCCCAGAATCTTACTGAGGTTGTTCATTTCCTGATTAGCAGTAAGTACATATGGTTTTTTAAACCAAAAAGCTCACTTTGCCACTAGATATGTAAGTCTGAGCCAGCCATTTGCATCTGCCTCCATCTTGCTTTCCACATTAGTTGAACAAACAATACAAAAGTGTCCTTCAGGGGATGTATATAGATACGGTGTCCCTCCTACAAAACAGTAAGCCAATTGACAGCAGGGACTAGGTTTTATCAGTATTTCAGTGGCAGTGTGGTACCTGGCATCTAGTAAGTAGTTCATTGACTGAATTAATAAATGAATATCCACCAAAGTGGTGGAAAGAAAGAGGGGAGAATTTGGGACACTCAAGACTCCAATTTGGGAGCTTGTTACAGCTACAGTTTGGTACAACAGTAATGTTTTTACAACTCCCGAAAAGTAGACTCCTTGAAGCAGACTCAGCTCCTGGAAAGGAGACAGCTCTGGTTCTGACATCCCCATTCCAGCAGTGAAATTGACCATGATAGTAATAAGGCCTGGGATGAAGTTTATAAGTGCATTTGCAATGAAGGGTTAGCTAAGCAGATAAAGAGTGTAAACAAGATTGCAAAAAGGAATGATTATTTAGCCAGTTTAAGAAAACAAACTGTTCTCAAGCATTCACACCCCCCTCAGGCATTCTTAAGAAAATTCAAGTACATTTATATGCAAATAGTTGTATCCCTAACACTCCATTCTGATTAAGTAAACAAAGCAGGTTCTTAAAGAACCTCCATTATTTTTTTGCATAATTTTAGTGACTGTATGCACTTGAGAATAAAAGAAAACTTATTTCTGTGATAGAATTTTTAACAATTCAGACAAACCTCCTCTATTAGGTAGCATCAATGAAACTGTGCTACATGTAACACTTCTACCTGGATCAATTTTCTATCTAGTAATAGTATCTCATATGTAGTATTGTCCCTCAATGTCTCCTAATCCAACCTAGAGCTCTTCCTACCATCTATGTCATTATTGCATGTGAATGTGTGTGTGACAGTAAGGAAGAAAAAAGGGATGAATGGAGGGAGGGGATTAATGTTGACTGATTTTGTTGTTCCCTATAGGGGACAGAAATGAATTGTATAATTTATTTCCCCTTCCAGTATATTTTTGACCCAAATGAACAAATTAAGTTGATTATGTATATAAAATCTAGAAAATGAATAAATGATACATATTTATTCATTTTATAATTATATATACATATATATGTTTTCTTCATAATAAATTCTTGATTATAGATTTTTATTGTAAGCTATATATAATATGTAACCATTTAACACTTTCAAATTCTACTGGGCCAAATTGGCCAATACTAGAAAAGCTGACACCCCTATTTCCAGCTGGCTAGTCCCTTGTTCAGAGCATCATTCTACACTATTTACCTAGAATTACCCTAATTCCTTTCAATATCATTTGTACTTATAAATCACTGGGAAGTTTTAATTCTCTAATGACAGAGAGGTATTTTCTAAATTTGTTCTCCAATGGCTTGAACCCAGACTACTCAGATAATTTGTTCTAAGAAACTCAAAACATTACTTCAAATATGAGCTTTAATGTACAAAAATTAAAGCTATAATATCTAGTTATTTTGGATGCTTCAAATGAACTTTATTTGGTATCTTGTATATTGGACACTAACTGAAGTTTAGGAGGGGAAGAACTGCTGAAGTGGAGAGCCAGAGAATTATATGCTTTCTTGAAATTTAATGGCAAGCTTTCATCCCAGAAACATAAGGGGATTCTTGAGGCCTGCAGTTGCATTCCTGACGCTCAGGGTAATCAATAAAATCTGGGGCAGGCAAGCCAGACAGGATCATTAGGGATTTGTTCCAGATTGTGAATGTTGGACAAACTGGAAGAATAAAGGTCACATCAAAAGTATGAAGATGCAGAGAGTTAGCTGGATCATAGAAAGACAGCATATTGTTGTCATAATCCAGAAGGACACCCAGGCGCTTCAACTGTGGGGGCACATCCACCAGCATTTCCTTGTTGTTATGTCTCACAACGAAGTTACTATTGCATCGAGAGAAAACCCATGAGGAGGCATTCTTGCCAATCCATTCATTCTTGGGAGCTGATTTGTAGGCAATGCCAATTGCATACCTGTGAAACAGTGGAAAGGAGAGAGAAATAAATATTTAGTAATGATCTGTGTTATGCTAGATACCATACAGAATATATAAGAAATAGAATACATGTCTCTTCCTTAAATAGTTTATATTTAGATCCATAATGTTGATACCACTAGAACTTTAATAAGTTAGCAATTAAAGTGCTGTAGTAGTTTCCAACTCCTAGCTCAGTATATTTTCCATGATTTATTTTTAAAAGCTGGCACATTTTTCTAGGAGTGGTTTTCATCACATGTTTTTAACCTTGACTTACTGGTATTATGTCTATGTTATAGAACTGGATCTCCAGGAACCTAACAACAGGGGAGAGAAGAGAAAAGAATAGTGAGATCCACTCACCATGTTGAGGAAGCCATGACTACCTCCCAATAGTGGCAGCCACTGTCAATGAATATATTTCCTGCTGCGCCATAGCACCCTGTGCCACTAAACCTCTCTGGAGTATGGCTTTTCTTCAGAGAGCTTTCATCCTTCTCCATCTGCAATCCATCATTGGAGATCTTCAACTTCTTGTGAGTCATTTTGGGATCCAGTTTAAAGGGTTGGCCTGAAAAAAGTAGAAATAAGAAAACGCATGAGGAAATATTTAAGAATTCTTTGTCTTCCAGGACCATCACTACCAGAGGAGCCTTGATATGATGGTCATTCTTGGATCAGTGCAAGTTGGCTGTTTTTTGTTATATGAAGGAAGCAGGCCAAAAGTCACCATATTCAATAAAATAAGAATATGCTGCCCTGGCCGGTGTAGCTCAGTTGGTTGGAGTGTCATCCCATACACAGAAAGGTAGTGGGTTTGATTACTGGTCAGGGCATACACCCGAGTTGTGGGTTTGATTCCTGGTCAGGGTGCGTGTAGGAGGCAATAGATAGATGTTCGTTCTCTCTCTCTCTCTCTCTCTCTCTCTCTCTCTCTCTCTCTCTCTCTCTTTCTCTCTCTCTCCCTCCCTCCCTTCCTCTCCCTAAATCAGTAAAGAAACATATCCTTGGGTGAGGGTTTAAAACAATAATATGCTGCCCCCTTCATATATTATCAAATTAAAAGGGGACTCTTAGGGTCTCAAATACGTTTATTATTTTACTTTTATTTCAGTAGGTGATTTGGTATTTGACTGGATTTTAGTGTTTGAGGTGAGACAAAGTGAGGGAATTGATGAGATCATTTTTGCTTATTAGCAGATCAAAACTGAAAATAAATCAGCAACAGGACAATTTTTTTTTTTGCCCTCTTCCAACTGGGATATAAATAATGTAATTAGGTAACTTCATTAGAGTGACTATTGCATCATCAATGGTCAGATAAAATATTTGTTGTGTAAGATCATTCACAACAGATAATTCCTTATCTTCATATGACAAATCCAGGTACTAGCACCACCAATTGCTGTGAATGGCAAGAGCCATATCAGACAAAATTTGTCTGTGGCAGACACTGTTGGTGAACATAACACCCATTTCCTACTTTTTCTTTCTTACCCACTTTCACTATAGAGGCCAGAAAAGCTAAATACTCCAGCACCTAAGTCTCCCTTGCTGCTAGGGGCGGCTAATAAGATGGAAATAGTTGGAAGCCGAAGTCAGACAGGGTGTGAGAACCTTCTGGGAAAGTGCATGTTTTTGTGATAAAAGGAATAGCCATCATGTATACCAGCCCTTTATCTTTCTTCCTTTCTTGAAAGAAAATATGACATCTACTGGTTGCAGTAGCTCTGTTGTGACCATGCGGCAAAAAGCCAATACAGAAAAGGAGAAGGGGCCTGAGTCTTTTACGACATCACAGAACTGATGCAACACCCTGAACTGCATACCTTCAAACCTCTTGCTATGGTATTTTTAAAAATATATTTTTATTGATTTCAGAGAGGAAGGGAGAAGGAGGGAGAGAGATAGAAACATCATTGATGAGAATCATTGGTTGGCTGCCTCCTGCATGCCCCCTACTGGGGATGAGCCTGCAACCCAGGCATGTGCCCTGACCGGGAATCAAACTGTGACTTCCTGGTTCATAGATCAATGCTCAACCACTGAGCCACTCCAGCCGGGCCAAACCTCTTGCTATGTTAGAGAAAGAAAAACAATACTTTGTTTGAGCTACTAACAAGTAACTATTTGTTAAGCTAAATTAGTTGAATTTTCTGTCACTTGCAGTCGAAAGCATTCCTAACAGGTATGGCTTCTCTGCAGTAGGATTTTAGCAGATTATCACAAACACAGTCATGCTCCACAAAATGATATTTCATTCAATGACGGACCACATATAGGATAGTGGTATGCCATATAGCCTAGGTGTGGAGTAGGCTATATCACCTAGGTTTGTGTAAATACATTCAATGACATTTGCACAACAACAAAATTGTCTAATGATTCATTTCTCAGAATATTTCTCTATTATTAAGTGGTGACTGTAGTAGTCTTTTACTCAACTGTCCCCCAAACATGAGGATGGAGTGCAGAGAAAACCACTTCACTAACATCCTCCAAAGCCACCAGCTAGTTTATGTATATCTGTATCCACATATCTTCCAGAGCCTTGAACAAACCCCTTGATCAAAGCACAAACTATAACAGTAAAGCTCCTCTACCCAGGGCCTCTGATGTCTCCTCAGGCTAAGTGTACTCCCTGGCACAGAGGGGAAAACTGATGTCTCCTTTCAGAATCACCATAACATACTGTTTGTTTTTAGTCGGGTAGGTTCACTGTTACGGCTGCCTGCTTGATTTATAGCTTTCACAATGAAGATGTAGCGTGTCCCACTCTGGAGTCCATGCACTGTGTAATGGTTCTGCTTAATGTTGGGAACAATCATCCAGCTATCCACCGAATTATACAGGCCTGTAACATGGGGAAAGACAAGGACATTAACCAGCAGGTAATAGAAATAGAATGAAAAAGCACACTGAAAATTCATCATAAGCCCCCCAAAATTGAATTTTTTTTTGTGAGTCCTGGAATACATAGTGTGATACATAGTGAGAAATGAACCTCCTCTGCTTTTTTCCTGCCATGGAGCTAGGCTCATGCCTAGTTCCTTGCTTCTGGTAATTAAATGTAACCACTAGGGAAAGTGAGGTTACTTTAATTTTCTTCAAAATAATATAGGAAAAACTATTCTACAAAATCACAGAATCATCTCTTTTATGGAGTCTCTAGATCTTCACCCCAAAGGTCCAATGCTCTGAGAGCTGAGTCTGGCCTTGTATGGATGGAACAGTCCTGTGCAGAGCACAGGAACATTGAATCTAAAAACCAAAAGGACACCTAGACACCATATTTCCCTCATTCCACAAATGGGACATTCAGATGGAGAGAAGAAAAGTGATTTGCCCAAGGCCACAGATAGATGGTGATGATGCTGAGAGTAGAAGAAACCTATTCTCCTTAACACTAGTTCGGTGTTCTCTCCATTGCATCACAAGTCACAGGGTGAACAACTATGTCTTGTTGTCATTGCAAGGTAGCAACTCTCTTAGGGCTTATGACTCAACTCTCCCATCCCATCCTCACTCTTATTTCCAAGACTAGTTGGGCTCTAGGTATCATAGGGAAGCCAAGGAGGTGACATGATAACCAAAGCAAAATATTATCTCCTCACTTGACACTACAGTTTTATCCCTTCCTGGTTCTGATCCCAATATTCTTTTGGGGTTGGGTGACTCAGAAACACACTATTATCTTGAACATTCTTTCCTCCCAAGTCAGGAAAAGGTTCACAGATCTATGTTTCTGCTTTTGAAACTATTTAGAGCATAAACATGGACTTAAACAGAGGAAAACGTACAGAACTAAAAACGTATTCGGCTAACTTTTAATACAAGAGGTATCAACATTCTAGTCCATGGATTACCTATATTTCTCTCTTCTGTTATCTTCTTTTCAGTCAGTTTACTGCTTTTTAAACACAATTCTACCAAAGGGTGGAAAGGAAATGGTGAGGAAAATGAGTGATGAATTTAGTCATTTCTATACAGCTGTAGTAAAGGGTTTAAGTGAGATTGAAAAGAAAAAAAAACAATAAATTTTTAAAAAGCAATTTTTTCAGCAGCATTTTATAATTAATTTGGGGGGGGGGTAGAAAAAGTATAAATTAAAACTAGAAAAAGAAGCACAATGGAGGGCAAAAAGATATGCTATAGAAAGAAGAATAATTAGTGGAAATGATCAGTGATTCTTAGGAAAAGATAATAAAGGGATAAGAGCCAGGGACAATGCTTGAGTGTTTGGCTGTCTACACACCAATGCATAGTATGAATCATAAACTGCACATGAAATTTTAATACAAAGAGGGAAATATATGATCTTCCAGACATACTTCTAACAATGCAAAACAGAAAACAAAACAGGTTTCATAATGAAGTATTATGCAATTGTAAAAATGTGTGAGGGAGATCTCTATGAACTGATATTGAGTGATTTCCAAGGTATATTGTTAATTGAATTAAGCAAGTTGTGTAAAAGCATGCATAATATTAGTATGCTACCTTTTTGCAAGAAAGAAAGGCAAATAAGAAAACATACATACACGGGGGGAAAAAAAGGACACATATGTAATACCCTTTGTAATAATTTAAGCAATAAAATAAAATAAAAAGCAAAAAAAAACACACAACAAAACAAAACAAAACATACATACATTTGTGTGGAGTTATAAAACAACAATAACAACAGGAAGGAAAAAAACCCAGAAAATAATGAAGTTGGTTATTTACAAGGGATGGGGATGGGTGAACAGGATTAAAAGTATATGGTAGTGACCATGCTTTATCAGAGCTGTTTTTAATGATGTTATTCTAGAATGTGTTCTTTCCAGATGATGATGGAGAAGCTTAAAAAAATGGTGCCAGGTACCACAACAGTAACAGAACTTTGCTGTTTTATGGAGATTTGTTTTTTACCTTTTTTTTTTATTGGAGTGTGCTGGATGTCTCTAAAATTTTGTTCAGATGCCTGGAGAACCTGGAAAATCTGTTGCTGCTATTGATGCATAACATACTGCTATTGCTCTTTATAAATAAATAAATTATATATATATAATTTGAATTTATAAATAAATAAACTATATATATATATAGTTTGAATTTTTGGAAACGTTAGTTGAGCTGTCAACTTTGGAAAAACTATCCCAGTCGTACTGTGTTGGGTTGGCATTGTACAGAAGTTAACAGCCATATTGGTCTAGAAACGTTCAACATATTTTTTTCCCATTTCTACAGGGGTAACGCACTGTATTAAATATGTAAGGTCTTAATCTACATGGGTTTGATTACAGAAACTAATAAAGTATTATCTAAACAAAAAAGTATATGGGAGAGAATGACACTTACATGAATATACCTTTTTTGTACAGTTTTCCTTTTTGGAATCATGCTGCTGTTTTATAAATTCAAAAGTTAAAATGAAATCAATATGATTGGGAAGAGTGAATACTAAAACTAAAGACAAACTGAAACAAATGAGCCCAACTGCATTTCAAATGAAAAATAACCACACCAAAGGGATGGGGGTAGGAGGAGAATTGCAAACAAGTCCTGAACTATTGTTTGTTTTATAGTGGTGTGGGCAAAGCAAATTCTGAACCTATTGTAAATATATTATGGAAGTGAGCAAATGAGTACATGTATTAATATTGTTAGGAGCCAGGGTTCTCATTGTGAAAGTAGGAACATACAAATATGTAATGGGGGAAGGCAAGAAAGAACCTGGGGGATGAACTGAAATTGGAGGTATTGATGGAAACTCATGATATCTAAATATATATATGTATGTGTATACATATGTGCACATATGTAAAGTATATGTATATATACTGTATGTGTGTTCATATATATACATACATGGGTGGATGTGTGTATTTCTAATCTCCATGTCTTGGTCTCTAATACCATTCTCCCCCTAAATAAAGTGGTTTAAAAAGAGAGAAAATGTGGAAAAACCTCAAGGGAAGTGTCTCTCAGAAGCGAGGTTCAGTCAACAGGTAGGACTGGAACCATGAATCTTCATGAATACTTATTCTTAGTAAAATAGTTTTAGTTTATCTGCCCACTGCCATAAAAAATTTTGCTTCAGGTTCTGCCCTTGTCCCAGTCCTGTTCTACTTTTCTATCAATGATCAGAGGAAGACATGGAAGGCAGTGTAGAAGGGGAAGTAAATGTATTGGAAGGCAGAAACTGGTCAAAGGGATATTAGCAGGCTAGAATGAGGAATCAAAGGTGTTGTATTTCCATGTGGACAATAAATTAATTTAACAGGAATAGGATTTAAAATTCCTAGGGATGTCAGTTGACTATATGCTCAGCCAACACTGAGTAATCAATACGGCTATTCATTAAAAAATAAATAAATAAATAAATAAATAAATAAATAAATAAATAAAAAGGTTCCAAGGAGAAGGGCAACAGGTAATATACAGAGAAATAATCCAGCTGTCCCCTGCAATGGTCAGACTACTGTTAGAGTGTGTTCACTTTTTTTAAATTCTCACCTGAGGATATTTTTTCCATTGCTCTTTAGAGAGAGTGGAAAGGAGAGAGAAGGGAGAGAGTACACAGAGAGAAAAACATTGATGTGAGGGAGACACATTGATTGGTTGCCTCCTACATGTGCCCTAACTGGGGGACAGGATCGAACCTGCAACCCAGGTATGTGCCCTTGAGTGGGAATTGAACTCGTGATCCTTCGGTTCACGGGCTGGCATTCTAACCACTAAGCCACATCGGCCAGGGCTATATTATGAAGCATTTTGACAAGTAGCAGTGTGTCCATACAAAGACTACTAGGATGGTAAAAGGTATGGAACATGAGAAGCAATTCAAATAACTGAGGATGTTTAGCCTGGAAAGGAGAAAATTTAGAAGAGACACAAGAACTACCTAAAATTATCTGAAGAATTGTCATGTGAAAGATTGATTAAGTTTGTTAGTGAGGCATAAAATGGCAGGCCTAGGACTAATTGGTAGCTGTGGTTTAATACAAGAAGCATTAGCTTGAAGTCTGACAGGCTTGAGTTTAAATCTTGACTCCATCAGTTTGTAGCTTTGTGACCTTGGGCAACTCATTTTGACCCTCAGTTTCTTCATCTATAAAATAGAATTAATATCATCTATTTCATTAGGCTAAGTAAGAACTCATGAGGACTAAATAAGATAATGTATGTGGGAGCAATTGTAAATGGCAAAACATAATACAGGTGTAAATTATTATTTACTAGGGAAAAAGTTAGAACTTTTATAAAGAAGTACTGACAATTATTTACAGCTGTTTAATTAAATGAGCTGTTTTTTTAGAAGTGAAATATCCATCACTGGAAATGTTCAATCAGAGACAGGATAATCATCTACTGGGAATCTGGTAGAACAAAAGAAGATTAGAACAGATGACTTCTAATGTCATCCCTTAGAATTCTAAGATGCTATAATCCCTTTGCTATTAACAATTAACCTTTAAGCTTTTTTTTTTTTTACAAAAGACTATATAACCTTTAAAATAAAGGTGGCAGCCTTTAGATCTTTGCCAATATTTGGACTTATTCTCAACTCCAGGAGTCCACTGTTCTCCCCATATCAGGAAGAAGAAGCACAGTTGCTGGCTCTAAGACTTTCCAGAGCAAGAGAGACAAGTGCAGAAAAGCATGTTGGGAAGGCCTTAGAGTTTGTGACTTCACAAAATGAAGAAATACCCAGGAACACCCAAGATCACAGCTATCTTGGCCAAGTGGCTTAGGTTGGAACTGCACGAGGCAAGTGTTTTCGAGAGTTTGACCCCAAATGTCCTCTCACCTCTCCACCCCACTACGTGGCCCAGAATTGTCACAATTCAGCAAAAGGAAGCCTATCAGGAGGGTTTCACTGGAAAACTCCTCTCATGCAAGCCTGTGAAGTCAGAAACAGAAGCACAAACACACAGGTAAAAGAAAATACTAATTAGCAGCTATGCAGATGCAACCTTAGGATGGAAATCAGTTCCAGTGTTGAATCTAGCTTTAATTCTTCTTTCATTTCCATTTTTTTCCCCAGTGCACTGAGGGAAATTTGCACCTTGAACCCTCTTATCTGGCAATCGATGAGTTAAGTTCTTACTCTGCCCTGTCTTGATCCAATTCATCAGAAGGTGAAACAATAAGAGCTAAATGACTGTTTTTTTAGCATCTTTCATTTTGTGGCCCACTGACAAATTTTTATAGTTGGTGTAATTCTTTGAGGAAAGGGAGAAGGGGTAAAGGAAAGAGTGACAGAGGCAGGAAGCTTGTCACTATATTTACTAATACAAATGCGTATGGTAAAGGAAGTAGTAGTCTTTGAACATAATGTATTTTACCATGGTAATGAAGTGGAAGAAAAGTCAAGGGGAGAGATGTTCACACACATAGAATCAGCAATGATGGTGGCTTAGCTACCCAGGAACAATATATGAGCTCTATTCTAACTTGAGAGAGTGGAGTGACATGGATTAACTGAGGAAAAGCTAAAGATTACATAAACAAATGGGAGTGGCCCCAGTGACTGCCCAGCAAGGAAATACACTACTTGCTGATGGGCCCGTTGCAATGCAAAGCTGGGGGAGCTTATACTATCTACAAAACACTGTTCTAAACAACCTAACATGTCTTACAAACACTTGCCTCGTGGCGCCCCGGCCAATCTTGAGCAGCTTACTGCTTCCTTACATTTCCTTATCTCTGGCCACAGGCCCCAACTACACCATGACTTACTGATGAAGTTAGCCTGGCCAGTGAATATGGTGTACTGAAGCTCATAGGAGCTGATGCTGAACTCATCATCCGAGATCCAGTGGACTGTAATGGTATCATGGGAGGCAGTACAGAGTTCCTCTCGGATAGATGGTGGGTTTGGGGCTGTAGGAAAAGGTGGAAAAGAAGGTAAGGAAATCACATTTTCTGTTCTGGAATTTTACAATCATTACTTTTGCTGCTCAACCCAACATCTTGTGAGATTTTAATGAGAAGCTTTATACTTCACATACCATAGAACCTAAAGCAAAGGGTAGAGACCTCAAGCTCCCCCAACTCACTTTTGCTTCAATGATAAAGACGTATTAGGCAAAGATATAAGCCTAAGCTATTGAGATGAATGACCAATTGTCTACACTGTCTGCAAACACAGGTAAATATTAGACCAAAGTGGTCACACCATTTTCTTATTACATGACCTTCAACCTATTACGTTTTATTTCAAAATAAGTTTTACTATATATGTTTGGCAGTATACCAAAATGCAAAATAATATGTGTTCCCTTATCTGTAAAATAAGGATGATAATTACATCATAGATTTGTTGCAAGGATTCATGACATAAAATTAATATACAGTGTCTGGCATAAAGTAGATGTTCAATAAATGACAGCTATTTTAATATATTAACAACAATAACTCAAAGTTATTATGTGTGTGTATTTTTCTCAGGAAATGATCATTCAAATAACCCTGAATATAGCCAGCATTTTTTAAAGGTTGGTTGCATTCCCTCATTTTCTAAAATTCTCTGCAAGCCAGATATTTCTTACATTTTTCTTCCTAATCTGCCAATTCTTAAGTTTCCTTAAAACGATTTGAGTAGTAACTGTACCCATGTGGGACATTCTCTAATATTCCATAATTTCCACCTGAGTCCTACCCCCATAACAAGTAACAATATATTACTGATAGGTTCATAAGGAGAAATCCTTTAGCAACTATTTCTTTTTTACCTTTAAATATGGATGCTATACCTAATCTGCCCCAGAAATATTTGACAAATCATCTTTCTTTTCTGTTATATTAACAAAATTGTGTTCTATTTAAAAAGACACATGTATCATTTCATAGGTTATAAAAGCATTTTCATTATACATATTGTCCTTTCCAGATTATTTTAAAGTATAAGCACACCAAAAGAAAAAATATGAGAAAGGAAGCACAGTATTTTCACACCTGTTAAATAATCTAGCCCCTCTAGCAATTTCTTTTCTCTGGAAAAATCTAAAGCAAAGTTTTCAAAGGCATCATTAAAATTGATGTCGGGAATCAAAACTTGAGAAGATGCAGTTGCCATAGCGACCCTGCAAAAGAAAAAAAGTACATCAATATACATCAAAATAAGTTTGCAATCATTATGCAGTGTTTGATTTCTGGCTTAACAAGGTGAAATTAAATGACTTGTAAGACTTGATTCATTAAGTGAAAAATCTCATATCTGTGCTTTGCCAATGGAAACCATTTAAATGTTAATCATCAGGAACCAATTAAGGGTTGTATCATATTTATTCACATATATTCACTTCTCAAACACACTCCCCCATCCTGTCTTAATTTTGAGAAGTAAATACAGGATTTCCCCCCCACTGCATCAACTTCCATCTGGCAGGTGTCATCAAAACTAGACCTCTGAAGGCTTGGTAAGAGCAATTTGAAAGATTTTCTTATGCTAATCAATAAGATTAGCACATTGGAGCTGAGTTAAAACCTTCCCCTAAGAACTGTACTTTATTTGATCTTTTCTAACATTTACATTTAATTGTATTATTATCTAGTTGTATAATGTTATGCTAGTTTTATCTCTTCAACTAATTCTAAGCAACTCAAGAGCAGGGTTCATATTTTGTACCTCATATCTTCCATGGTCCCTAACAGAGTGTTGAACACATGCTAAATCAATAATTACTGAATGAATAACTTAATAACTAACAACAACACAACTGCTAACATTTATTTAGTATTTTACATACATACCTTATATACATACATACATAAATACATACATAATTCACATACATTATCTAATTTTTTTCCATTTTGTAAATGAGAAAGATGACACATAGAAAGATTAAGAAACTTGCCCAAAGTCATACAACCAGTAAGAGTCAGGAAAAAAAAGAAATATAAAATATAACTGAACTCATATTCATCGGCTTCTCAATTTCATACCTTAACTATTTAAAATAGTTTCTTTTTTGAAAAAAAAATGTATGTATGGATTCCAAGATGGCTGCAGAGTAGGTGGAAGCTAAACTCACCTGCTCCCAGTGCCAAACCAGATTTACAGCTAAATTATACAGCAATCAACCTGAATAACCAACTGAAAGCTAGCTGAACTGAAATATTATAACCAAGAATTTACAGAAGACACCATAGAACCTGATAAGGGTCAAGACGCAGAAAGATCTGAGAAGCTGGAGGGATATCTCAGTTGTAAAACTCCCTCTCCCCAGCAGCGTGAGGTCTCAACGCTATGCTGGGATTCTCAGCCCAGAGCAACAAAGATGAGAGAAGGGAGTCTGCTAGAGACCACATGCCCCCTTCCCAGGTTCGAGCACTCCTATTGTTATAGCACCACCTAGTCCTTCAACTACTAGAGATACCACCTTGCTGAGTTCAGGTCCTATACAGGGGTCAGCTGGCTGCACCCAGCCAGAAGCTTCAGCGCACTCTTTTCTGGGGAAGCTCTTGGTAGAGACTCAGACAGTGATTGAACTGTGTAGTTTGGGAAGTGGACAATTCTTCCCCACCTCTAAGCACAAGTGGTGCCACCCCCACACTTGTTGAATTATTTGGACTGCCCTACCACCATAGAGGGATCAGAGTGCCAGAGCATGTCTCCCAGGAAGGATTTGTCTGAGAAACAGACAGATGGGTGCTGAGTTGTGTGGCTACATCACAAGGGGGATCAGAGGGCTATTCAGAGCTGGATTAGACACCAAGGGTACATGTCTATCTCAGATGCTCTTGCTGGGAAGGGGAAGAAGTGCCCATCCCCTTCATACAGGCTTCCTGGCACCACCCCCAACAGGAGACTGTTTGGATCTGCCCTCCCAAGTCCCAGTGGCCCCATACTACTGAGCTCAGGCTCCTCCCGGCAGAATATGGAACAGACTGAGTTGTGTGGCTCTAGGACATGGGGCATTTTCCCCTTGCATGCCCAACTGAAGTATAGCCCTCCCTTCACATAGACAACTCATGGTCCTTTGGGCCTGATTAATTTTGCTGGCCTCACCCTCATGATTCACTGAGACCATGCCCCACCATAAAGGTGTCTGAGCACCCAGCAGGTGGCAGCTAAACTTAGTATACCTAAGGACTTTTGCTGAGTGGCCACAGAACCAGCACTGGCACCATATTTGAACCTGCATCAATCTGGTAAACACTGCCATGCCCCTATGTGGTGATTCACTTAGAGTTTACCTCAGGAAAATCAAATACCTCCAGAGGCTATTTCAGTGACTGAGCATAATAGGAGCCGGGAGATGGATATAGGCATAAGTAGATCTCAAGGTGCTTTGGGGCTTTTGATGATTTGCCCCTGGGCCTGGTGGTGGTAATAACCAGCCCTGGTGTGCAGTTTGGTCCTGCCCATGCACACCCCGGATAAGTACAGACAGCCACAAACTGTACATCACTTTGTAGCTCCAAACAGATTATCCAGGGCCAGTCACAGACAGTGTCTGCCATGGGCCTGCACCAGAGTCACTCCTAGAAGCCCAGAAACAACACATCCAGTGCCCAGCTACAGACAGCATGAGAACAGGATCCAGTAAGTTTCACAAGCAGCATATCCAGAGGAAAATCTTGGTAGGCACCTAATCCTGCTGAGGTGAATTCTGTGTCAGTTGGTGAGTACCTGCACAGCAGCTTGCATGCTATGGTTGGGGTTGATCCTCACAGTCAGTCAGGCTGAAGGGTGATCTCATGCACAAACAGACCAATAGCAATCAAGTTTTCAATTACAACAGGAGGGGCAACACAAACTGGACATTCCTGGAGCACCATATCAAGTGATCAAAGAGACTGCATCACTGGACCCCACAGGACACCTATTACATAAGACCAACTTACCAAGACTAGAAGTCACAGGAGATCAACCTAGTACATAGAAACAAAAACAAAGAAGCAGCAAAATGTGGAGAGGAAGAAACATACCCCAAATGAAAGAACAGAAGACATCTCTAGAAAAATAGATAAATGAAATGGAGCCAAGCAACTTATCAAATGAAGATTTCAGAAAAATGGTTATAAGGATGCTCAAGGAACTTAGTAAAAACGACAATGTACTTAGTGAGAACTATAATTACATGAAAAAGGATGTAGAAATCATAAAAAAAGAACCAGTCAGAAATAAAGACTACAATATCTGAAATGGAGAATGCATTAGAATAAATAAACAGTAGGCTGGACAATTCAGAGGATAGAATCAATGATTTGAAAAACAAAAGAAAAAACAACCAATAAGAACAGAAAAAAGGAAAAGAATTTTAAAAATGAAGATAGTTTAAGAAACTTTTGGACAACATGGAGTGTAACACCTGCATCACAGGGGTACCAGTAAGAGAAGAGAGAGAGCAAGGGATTGAGAACATATTTGAATAAATAATGACCAAAAATTGCCCAACCTGGTGAAGGAAAAAGACCAGGAAGCTCAGAAAGTGCCAAATAAAATGAACCTAAAGTGGCCCACACCAAGACACATCATAGTAAAATGGCAAAGTACAAGGACAAAAAGAGAATCTTAAATTCAACAAGAGAAAGAGTTAGCTATAAGGAAGCTCCCATAAGACTGTCAGCTGATTTCTCAACGGAAGTATTTCAGGCAAAAAGGGATTGATGTGAAATATTCAAAGTGATAAAAAGCAAGGACATACAACCAAGACTATTTTACCCAGTAAGGCTATAATTTAAAGTTGAATGAAAAATAAAGAGCTTCCCAGACAAGAAAAAGTTAAAGAAGTTTGATACCACAAAACCAGCACTATAAGAAACGTTAAAGGGCCTTATTAAAGAAAATAAGAAAAGAAGTAGGAGGGGAGGAGGAAGTGGAGGAAGAGAGGAACATAGTTAAAAGAATAAAATGGCAATAATTACGTACCTATCAATAATTACTTTAATGTAAATGACTTACATGCTCCAACCAAAAGACACACGGTAGCTGAATGGATAAGAAAACAAGACCCATATATATGCTGTCTACAAGAGACCCATTTAAGAATTACAGATACACAGAGACTGAAAGTAAAGAGATGGAAAAATATACTTTATGCAAATGGAAAGGAAAAAAAAGCTAGGGTAGCGATACTTACATTTGACAAACTAGACTTTAAAACAAAGACTATAGTAAGAGTCAAAAAAGATACTACATGTTGAGGAAGGAAGCAATCCAACAAGAGGATATAACCTTGTAAACACATATGCACCAAACACACAAGCACCTAAAAATGTAAAGTAAATGTTGATGAACATAAAGAGAGAGATTGACAGTAATACAGTCATAGTAGGGGACTTTAACACCCTATTGACAGAAATGGATAGATCTTCAAGACAGAAAATCAAAGACATAAATGACACACTAGATCAGATGTATTTAATTGATAGCTTCAGAGCATTTCACTCTAAAGCAATAGAATATACATTTTTTTCAAGTGCACATGCAACATTTTCTAGGATATACCAAATGTTCGGACACAAAACAAGTCTCAGTAAATTTAAGAAGATTGAAATCATATCAAGCATCTTCTCTGACCTTAATGGTATGAAACTATAAATCAATCACAAGAAAAAAACTGAAAAAACACACAAATATAAAGGCTGTATAACATGTTACTAAACAATAAATGGGATAAAAGGAGATCAAGAAATAAATCAAAAGATACCTTGAAACAAATTAAAATGAAAACAGAACAACTCAAAACCTATGGGACAAAGTAAAAGCAGTCCTATGAGGGAAATTCATAGCATTACAGGCCTATCCCAAGAAACAAGAAAAATCTCAAATAAACAATCTTGAAAGAGCTTGAAAAAGAACAACAAACAAAGCTCAAAGAGAGTAGGAAGAAGAAAATAATAAAGATCAGAGCAAATAAATGATATGCAGTAAAGAAAAAAAGCAATACAAAAGATCATTGAAATAAAGAGCTGGTTCTTTGAAAAGATAAACAAGATCGACAAACCTTTATTCAGACTCATCAAGAAAAAAGAAAAGGACCCAAATAAATAAAATCAGAAATGAAAGAGAAGTAACAATTGATGCCACAGAGATACAAAGGATTGTAAGAATATATTATGAATAACTATG